AGAGAGAGAGATAAGTAGGTTTATTTCTTAGTTACGATTGTTGAGTTACATGGGAAAAGTTCTCAAAGAGGAAGAGATACTCAGACTTCCTTAGGTTAAATTTGTATAAGTAAATGACATTAATATCCATTATTATTAATATTCATATTAATGTTAATAATAAGTAAATGACTATTAATTGTCTTTTAGAAACTGTATGCTTTATGGGAAGTTCCTAAGATTCATCAATGCCCTGACTGTCCATGATACCTTTCTATTTATGAGTCCTAATGGTGCGTTGCCTGATATTAAACAGCAAGAGAATGGTGTCATGTCATAATTTTAGTTATTTAAAATGTTAACTAGCCCATAGCCTTCTCCTTTTTTTCAGAGAAGTTTTGGGTTCACAACAAAATTAAGAGGAAGGTACAGAGATTTCCCATCTACCTTCTGCCCTGACACATGCATCACCTCCTCCATGAGCAACATCCCTCCCCAGAATGATACATTTAGTACAACTGATGACCCTACAATGGCACATCATTACCTCCCAGAGTCCATAGTTTACATATGGGTTTACTCTTGGTGGTATACATTCTTCAGGTTTAGAAAATTATATAACAACCTATATCCATCATTATAATATCATAGAGTGTATTTTCAGTGCCTTAAAACTCCTCTGTGCTTTGCCTATTCATCTGCCCCTGTTCTCACCTCTGACAACCACTGATCATTTTATAGTCTCCATAGTTTTGCCTTTTCCAGAACATCATAGAGTTGGAATTCTACAATATGTAACCTCTTCAGATTGGTTTATTTTACTTAATAACATATATTTAAGTTTCTTCCATTTTTTTATGGCTTAATAGCTCATTTCTTTTTATCTCTGAACAATCCACTGTCTGGATGTAGCACAGTTTATTTATCCATTCACCTACTGAAGAACATTTTGGTTACCTCCATGTTTTGGCAATTATGAATAAGGTTGCTGTAAGCTTCCATGTGCAGATATTTGTGTGGGCATATGTTTTCAGCTCCTCTGGGTAAATACCAAGAAGCGTAATTGCTGGATCATATGGTAAGAGTAGGTTTAGTTTTGTAGAAAGCTGCCAAACTATCTTCCAAAGTGGTCATATCATTTTGCATTTCCACCAGCAACGATTGAGAGCTCCTGTCCCACTCTATCCTCACCAGTATTTGGTGGTGTCAGTGTTCCAGATTTGGGCCATCCTAATAGGTGTATATATTGTTGTTTTAATTTGCATTTCCCTGATGACATGATGTGGAGTATCTTTTCATGTGCTTACTTGCCATTGTATATCTTCTCTGGTGAGGTATCTATTAAGGACTTTGACTCACTTTTTAATTGGATTCATTTTCTTCTTGTTGAATGTTAAGAGTTCTTTTATATTTTGGATTAAGTCCTTTATCAGGTATGTGTTTTGCAATCATTTTCTCCCAGTCTGTGGCTTATCTTCTCATTCTCTTGATAGATGATGAAATTCTATAAAGCTTTCAAAAGGAAAGTAGATCTACATGTACAGATGTGGAAATATATCTGAGATTATTAAGTAGGAAAAAAGTACAGAATTATGTGCAAATACAATTCTTCAGTGTATATTGGAATGGTGGAGTAAGGCTTCTCTTGTTAATTTGTTCCTTTCTCTACTTTTCTGAATTTCCTAAATTGCAGACTGGATTTGTAGCATTTGCCAATTTCATGGTATAAATACTCCCACCATGGCTAATTTCAAACTATAGTTTGAGGTCACTAAAGCAAAGTGGGGAAAAGATGTCCATATTAGATCTTGCTAGCCACTGTGGGCTGGCTCCAGCACACTCTGGATGGGAGAGATGGTTACAGATAGGCATGGTCTGGATAGACTTCATGTAGGAGGTGAAAATTGAAACTAGTCTTAAAGATTGTATAAAAATTAGATAACTAAAGGAAAATATGTTTCAGGTTTGGAGACTAGTATAAGCAATGCATAGAGGCAGGAAGGAATGTGGAATATGTAGGCAAATATATTCAGCATCTAGTGGGTACTCAATAAATATATTTGTGAAGAGTTGAATGGCAGTGAATCAGCCATCTGAATGAGAAGAGGCTTGAGAGGTATTCCAAGTGGTAATCCACGGGTGTCTATCCTTCATCATGGTGTTTTTTCCTCCCTCTCCATCCCCAGAATCTTCATCAGCTTGGCTCTGTGGGCTGAGTGAGAAACTACTTGGCCATTTGTTTATTATTTTTCAGTTATTTTAATAACCATACTGATATCTAATAGTAAGATAGGATTAGCAGAGAATTCTAAGAGGATAGAAAATTTTAATTTTCTAGAGGGGAGGGAGTGGGGGGATGGGGGTAGGGAGATGGGTTAGCCTGGTGATGGGTATTAAAGAGGGTGTATACTGAATGGAGCACTGGGTGTTATACGCAAACAATGAATCATGGAACACTACATCAAAAACTATTGATGTAATGTATGGTGATTAACATAACATAATAAAATAAAATAAAAAAATAAATAAACATGACATGATAGTTGTCTTTAAATATTTTTAAAGGGTTGTCATGTGGAAGAGGGATTAGAATTTTTTTTTTTTTTTTTGCCCTTGTCTTTGCGAAAGGGAAGAAATTAAAAGGAGGAAAATTTCAGCTCAGTATGATAAATAACTTTCTACTAAAATGGACTTTCTGAATGTCATCTTTAGAGGTATCTACTCAGAAATTGAGCAGAATCCTCTCTAGGATCTTGTGGCGCATTCCTGTTTATATGCACCTCCCAACTTTGTACTATCCAGATTGCAGTACCGATGAAGGCCAAATCCATATGCTATGTTTTCTTTTTTTGACCAGTAGAAGTGGTCCAGTGCCCTGAACAGGGTAGGACCTTAATAAACATTTATTGAATATATGAATGTTGAATTTACCTTTTATATATTTCAGCAGGAAACGAAAGGTTGTGTCTGCAATGCAGAGTTAAAGTAAACATTTGTACCAATTCAGATTTATTCTTTATTTAAAATACAATTGTTGAGCTAAAAATTAACAACAACAACAACAACAACAACAAAAAGAGTGGCCGAGCGGCCTAAAAGCCACATATCTGCGTAATGGATCTATCTCTGTTAAACAAACATGCCTCGAGACACTGATTTCAAGTATAGTATTTTCTATGAAGACAGATGCAGGCAAGCTAGCTAAAGATCAACTTTTTTTTCTCTCTTCTGGCATATAAATATGGAATTCTGTGGTTTGGCGGGGGTCAGCAAACTTTTTCTATAAAAGGCCAGCAACTAAATCTTTCCCACTTCGTGGGCCATATGGCCTCAGTCACAACTACTGGGCTTGGCCTTTATAGAGTGAAAGCAGCCGCAGATAAGACATCAATGAATGACTGTGGCTGGCTTCCAATCAATCCTTATTTACAAATAAGGCAGGAGACAGATTGGGCCTATAAACCATAGTGTGCTGATTTCTTGCTTAGAGCATCAAGGTGTCTAGAAAATCTAGAATTCTTTAAAGTTCATGGGACACTAAAGATCAAAAAATGCCAAGAGTTAGCAAGGACAATAGGATGTAAAAATGACTTCATAAAAAGAGCTCAATCTATCTTTTCTGGTAAAATGTTTTTCCAAACCTCCTGCTCCCTCCTTTCTATACGGGCATAGGTACTTATGATGTCATGTTAATATCATAATTTTGGTGCTTATACACTTTCTTAAAAACTGATTACTGAATGAAACTTGACTTGGGCTGTTACTTAATTCCTATAAAATTAGAGCTGTCCTGCACAATAACAATCTACCTAATAATCTTCTAGGTCACTTTTTTATCTGATGTCATGTCCATGTTCCTACAGAAATGAATGAGTTAGAAATGGTGATAATTTGAGTAAAACACTTACTTTCAGTGTCAATTTCTTTATTTTTAAAACAGAAAAAATAGAACTTGTTGTATTTACCACAGAGAAGGAAAGTATTATCTTAATGGCAAGTATAAATCTGTGCCTTTTATTCAATGGAGAAAATTACCTAAGAGAGGACCAAAAAAAAAAAAAAAAAAAAAGTCTTACAATCACCAGTCATGATTCAATGCTTTACCTTCTCCTCTCTTCTTGAAGAATTCCAGAAACAGACAGCTGACCTTCCTCCAAGTACTTTCTCTTCTGCTATCATCACCTATGATTAAGTCTAAATCCTTTATGGATAAGGCATTGCACATGTAACAAAGAGGAAGAGAGATAATAAGGGTGAAAAAGGCTCCAGGAGAATTAAGTCACTTTAAACAAGATGGTTGGGCCATAGTGCATCATGTCTGGAGAGCTAATCATATAACGCTCAGACCGATGGTTGAGATCAAAGACCATATCTGCTTCTTTGTGAGGGTCTGAGATTGGAAAAGAAGAAATAATAATAACATTGGCAGAGAGAAAGAAAATGTTTTGAAGAGAGATGTAGCAGATTTGTGTCCTGCCCAGATGTCCTTGGATCCCTTGTGCCAGCTCTGTGCACCCACCTCTCTGATTCTACATGCTTGATTCCCAGCCACAGGGCCCTGCCACATTCAGAAGACTGCCCTTGGGCACTGGAGCACCACACAGCTGGTCTGGAATGGACTAGTACCTGGGAGCTTTATAGCTCCTACCTCAGGGCAACCTGTAACCAATGGCTATTTGATATGTTAATACAAAAACTCAGTTCCCTTGTTTTAAGGCAAAACAAACTGAGGTGTAATTCACACATCTGCCAAAATCTGGCTGAGTCTGGGACTTCAGCTGAAATCATACTCTTATTTGGCTTTTTTCCCCTTCTTACTATGCTTTACCCATTCTCTTACTGGTTTCTCTTTAATAAAACACTTAAAACATTTGCATCCAAATCCTTAGTTTCGGGTCTGTTTCCGGAAGTACCTGATCTGAGACAATAGACTGTACCATAATTTCTTAGCTTTTATGTAATAAAGTCCCACTACATTTAACATCAATAAGCACATAATTTATGAAAAAGTGTCAACCAACCTGTCAACGAATGCATGGTGAAGAAGAAAAATGGGGTCGTTGGCAGACCCCTGTACCTGAGACATTGTCCCATTCATATAGATGTGCAGGGCGTTGTGCATACTGCTTTGAGAGGCATCTGCTATCCCAGTAAGTGGACTAGCAAATCCTGTTGGCAACAAGAAGATCGGAAAGGAAAAATCAGTTTGCACCGATAACTGAAAATCTCAATGATTATCTCATTTGGTTTGCAACTACACTCGAGCACTTAACTCCAAGTAATAAAAATCTATAATAAAATTCATTCCCTGTGGGGATTCCTTACATTTTGGATGCCCACTGAGTATTTAAGAAATCTTGGTGGAATTGAAAGCTGTTAATCTGGGTACAGTGGACAGATTAACCAGATGGAATAGGTAGAGCCAATCGTATTCCCTCCTGTTGCTTCTGCCTATTATTTCTCCATTAGATACTGCAAAGGAATAAGACCTTTTTATACTAATCAGCATGGTCGCTCTCCCTTCAGTCTTTAATGGCACTTAGAGCAGATCTCTCCAGCCAGTTACATGTCTCCTTGTTTCCCAGTTCTGGTGGTAGCTTTTAATTTTGGTTTCTAGTTCCAAAGAAAACAGAAAATTTGTGACCTTCCCTATCACAGCCTGGAGAACATCAGGTCAGAATGTGTTTGAGTTTGCAAACCATTTATTTCAAAATTAATCAGAACTCCATTAAATGGTTCCTTTCATTGCATCAGGAATACTAATAGTGGGAGAATAATGATAATACAAGATATTATTTTCTGAATATTAATTGTGCTAAACGCTTTTGGTGACATATGTCCTCCAACCTTTTCAGCAACGCTGTCAATTAAAAATTATTTATCTCCACTGGAAAGAAGAGAAAAAGAGAAAACTGAGGCTCAGAGAAGTTGAAGTCCCCTAGGCAACACAGGTTGTTGGTAGAGTTGGAATTTTAACTTTGATCAACTAAGTGTCAATACCTGAGCTCTGGCTATTTTGCGTTCTCTTTCACACAGTCCCTGGGAAGAGGAAGAGGAAGATAGCATTTCAGAGTTCATTCAGGCAAAACATAAAACATAAATAGAACTCAGATTCAGAACCAGAGAAAGAAGTCCATTTAGCAAACCTAGTTGGGGGAATATGGCCAAAGGCATATTATTAAATTTCAGAATTTAGAAATATCATACAGAAACTGGAAGATAATAATAATAAAGGTAGGATACACACAGTGAAGGCACTATGATTTGGGCAGGGGAGGTCTAGCTAATTTTATGCAACCAGGATTATTTTGTTGTCAACCTGTTCATTTTTAAAGGTGCAGCTCTTGACTTCCACATTCGATGCTTTGTGCCCTTCCACCATTGTGGCTCAGTATTCCTGCCCCTCAGTTTGTGATTTTTTCCCCCTCTTCTTTTGAGCTTTTTGTGCTTATTCTAGGAGATCATGCTAAGCCTGGCTCCTACTGGGAGCTTAGCCTAAGAACATGCACTTCTCTCCCCTCTCGTCTATGAAACTTTTGTGATTATATACATAAGGCCTTTATGATATGCAGGGATTTTTCTAAGAGCTTGACATGATTAATTTCATATACCCTTCAGAGTGATCCTACAAATTAGGTACCTTTATCATCTCCATTATATCAGTTTGAAAAAGGGGGCTTAGAGAGGTCAAGTAACTTGTGTAAGATTTAGAAACAAATAAGAGAAATTAAGGTTGGGACACAAGCTTGTTTTCTTCTAGAGCTCAGGCTCTTGAATGCAATGGTTTACTGCCTTTCCTATGTAGCAATAAATCCTGCATCATGGAAGACAAACTTCTGTACAGCAATGGTCTTTAAGCTTTTACCCTTGATAGCACCAAATGAAAGTTTTAAGACCACATTTTATATGTGCTCTCACATATTGTTAAGTAGATCCAGATTATTTTAATCCTAACTGTAAATACTTTCAGAGGATATAACTTCAGATATATTGCAAATAGTATAAATGTAAAACTAAAAATTTAATACCACTTTTTAAAAATGTATCCACCTCATACATGATCATCCATATCAAAAATACTTAAACAACTCTATTATCATCTGAAATTTTATGAGGTTTTCTTTTTTGACTTTATCTCATATTTGTATTCTACTTTCCCAGAGAAACATACCTAAATATTATACAAGTTATGCTTGATTAAAAAAAATTTTCTGCAATGAAAATAGGTATAAAACTTAAAATTACTTTTCAAAAATTTCATGGAAACATTAATCTAATCTGGGTTAATTTATCACTAAATATTTTAGCCATAAACAACTTATCAAAATCACACAAATATATTAAAACATTTTATAAAATATTAAATATAAAAAAGTAAAATTTTACTGAAAGTTTATTTCTTAATAATATTGTGAAAGATTGTTAATTAAAAATTAATGTCCAGGATTAATATTATTTATTGCTGCAAAGGGATAAAGTTTAACATAAATCTTATTCTAAATATCAAAAACTAAATCTGGGTCCTGAGAAAACTTTGTTCTCAAAAATAACCACGTGGAATAAAAGATTTTTCATAGTAATCTCAATTATTTGAACTCTCTTGTAGTTACATGCCAAAAATGACTCACTGATCCAGCATCAAAATAATGTGTTTCATCAGCTGACAACTCAGTCAAGAATTCTTTAATGAAAGCAATCTTATATATTACTAATTTATTTACAAACCTCATGACTCGCAAGTTATTCGCCACCTAGTCATTAAAGTCCTGCCCTTTCACAACACTGGCACCAATATTTTGAATGCTCCACTTGTTTGGCACCCTCTCAGTTTTTACCCCTTCAGAGAATGTGCTCTGTTGAGAATGGATTTGGGATATGTGAGAGGAAGGCTTTTCTCCTGAAAAGTAGAAGAAAAGTATTGGGGAAGGGACAGAGGAAAAGGAGAACCTTCAGGAACTTTCCCATTCAAGATTCATTTTAGAAAAATATAATTGGGGGGCGCCTGGGTGGCTCACTCGGTTAAGCATCTGCCTTTGGCTCAGGTCATGATCCCGGGGTCCTGAGATGAAATCCAACATCGGGCTCCCTGCTCAGTGGGGAGCCTGCTTTTCCCTCTCCCTCTCGCCCTGCTTGTGCGCTTGCTCTCTCTGTCAAATAAATAAATTAAAAAAAAGAAAAAGAAAAAGAAAAATATACTTGGGAGGAGGACCTGGAAATAAATTTCCTTGACATATTCTGTACCAGGTATCCTGTAGAAAGTCTTAGTGAGCCTGCAGTAGTGTGTCTATCCCAGTTTGAAGTTACTGCCATAGAGAAAAGATTTTTAGAGCTCTGCAGACCTGACTTTAAATTCTGTTACTCACCAAACATACAGCTTTTGGTGATAGCTATCTTTTTTGAGCCTCAGTTTCTTCATTGGTAAGAGAGGGAATAATTAATGCCCATCTGGATTCTGATGAGGAATAATTTTGATAGCAGGTGTGAGACAGAATCTGGCACAAAATAGATGCTTCCTGAGTAGTACCTACCATTTCTATCAGCTCATTGCATTTGATCAATGGGTGCTCATCATGAAAGCTACTAGCCAAGCATATGATGAACTCCCACTGCAGAAAAGTCTCTTTTGCCACAACTACCCACCATCAGGACCCATCCCATCAGCAGACACGTCTCCCCTTCCTAAACTCCATTGCTCTACAGACCCTGCCTGCTGCTTGCCCTCATCCAACGTTAGGATGATCTTAGAAAGTAGGACTGCATTTCTATCACTGGTCTCAGCAAGGCTTAGTATTTCTTTACTCACTTCTTTGGCTAAATTGCCAGATACTGCACCTGGGAAAGCCTCCAATGTTATTAAGAAAGGACATCTGAATAAGAGGCACATAGAGTTTGTCAGACTATTGTGATACATGCTCAGAAATAGTTCAAAGATACAGGTTGAACAAATACCCGACCTCTTTGTGATAGGTACTAGATTATTAATATAGATAATCTTTTTATATTAACTCTTTTAAATGAACTGTGCATATCTTCTTTCTTCAAATAGAATGGAAATGCCTTCGAAGTAGGGACCAAATCTTTTGCTTTGATTTTCCACAAAGACAGAGACTCTCAAATCGTTGTATTTAAAAGAAAACCAAATATAAAATATGTTTAGATCCTTCACTTAACCCATTCTACAGAGACTGGGAATAGAAAGATACATTTCTCTCCATAAAATCTTAAGGGACCCTCAAAGTGCTCTACTCTGCTGCTTGTTAAGAGAAAAATAGAGGAAATGTCATGGATGTGAATAGTATGAAAATATGAATAAAGATTTTCTATTTTACTTCACACAATTCACTTTTTGGCCGCTAAATCCCCTTGGAAAAATAAGAAAGGATTACACCAATATCAGTAGGTTCTCTTGCTGAGATTTTAATTCTCTTTTGGAAGAGCAGGTCAAAAAGGAAATTCTAGGCTCCAAATAAAAACAGTTTATACATCAAGCTCTTGAAATATCTCTTATGTACCTGATCTCATTTGAATCCCTGGGCTACCTGTAATACAAATAGTATCATTGTCCCAATTTACAGATGAGAAAACTTAATTTTATATAGAAGTTAACACGTCTATTACTTAACACATCTAAATTCAAGCTAGTCGTGGAGGGAATCAGGGAATCGGAGGTAGCTCTGACTGGTTTCAAACCTGTGATTTTTGGTATACTGCAGTTGGGTTGTATCTGTGCTGACTTGCTGATTCACCTCGGAAGCCTCTTTTTCCTGTAGACTATCAAGTGAACTTATGAGCTCGCTGTTTACTTGTATTAACAGCATGATGCAGAATGCGTGACTGCTTCACTCTTGTCCAAGGATTCCCCAGGATGGGAAGTCCAGTGAGCCAGCAGGGACCTTGTTCGCAGTCGCAGACACCAAAATGGCTGCCAGTTCTTCGGGAAGGGAAGTGAGGGTTGCCCAACGCACTCTGGGTTAGGCCTTCATGTCTGCGTGCTGCATTCCTCTGGGAAATTAATGACCACAGTTTCTGGCTGATCCTAACAATACAAAACTTCAGCTCGTCAATCTATGGCTTTCCTCTTTTGTTTCCTCCCCAATAGTACTCTGGAGAGTTTTTATGTTTGTTTGTTTGTTTTTTAATATTGAAGCCTCTCTCCAACCCCTGGAGAT